TACACGACGTACCTTATTATACGTTTAAAAATATTATACGTTTATATATATATGTGTACGCAACAGGTCACTTTTTTATCAAACGCGCATTTATCGTGAAACGCATATATTATGCTAATATACAGTGAGTCGAAAAAGTATTCGTACAGAGAAAATATTTTTAAAAAAAAGTTTATTTATAAAAAATGAATATTATCCAGCGAGAAATGAGTCATCGAATTGATGTCGAATCGATATCAATACGATGATTTTCAACATCAATTTGACGTCGATTCGACGTTTAATTGACGATCATTTCTTGTTGGGTAATTAACAATTTATTTATAAAGAATAAAATAGACTGTATGTTTCTTAAAATTATATATACTAAAAAGATGTGTATTAATTACAGAAAATCTGAAGTATCATCTGAAAAATAAGCGAAAATTAAAAGTTGTATTGTTTGGATGCTCAAAAAGTATTCGTACAGTCGAGAAATTTAGCTTCTAAAATCAAGAATACATACGAAGCTCGTTTGTTTATGTTAAAATAGAATGTATTCATTGTATAAAATTGCTAATTAATGTTTATTTTCTATAAATAAGACTCTTTTTAGAAAAAAATTCCTTGTACGAATACTTTTTGCTCTCACTGTATATGTGTATAAATATTAAACAATTTGCAAAATTTCCTATAAACAAATCATTGTTTAGTTAATTAAAAAAATGTAGGGAAGATGGATTATTTAGAGTTAGAAATCAATTGATGATATAAAATACGCTTTCATAGAAAATACATGACTACAATATCGAATGAGATTTAAAGTGAGAACGTGAACGATAAGAGAGAGATGGTCGGGAAATGCTTTTCTTCAACGAAAAAGAATCGCCTGAGTCGCGGTGACGATCGATCGTCCAAATGACTAGACTTTAGAAACGAGAGACAAATTACGTTGATTTTTGTCCAGTGACAATAAGCCGACAAGACGACAGGACGATAGTGGGAGCTAAAGTTGATCACGAGGATAACAGCTGGCAGGAAACTGAGGTTAGCGAAGTGTCACCACGCGTCACGCCGGGGTGGTGGGTCTATGGGGGGCTCCGCCCCAGCGGTCCCCCGGCTCGAGTCCAACCGGCAACTGCCGGAACGGTGGTGCCATCCTGGCACGGGCCAAGACCGCCCCGCTTCCGGTACCACCGTCCAAACGGATGAAGAGCCCTTCCAACATCATGAGGCAGTCCAGCCTCACAAAACTCGGTTCCATGATCAACACCGCCGTCAACAAACGTGCCGGTGAGTTTTATCTCCAAGTACACATTTTAGCGTTTCTTGAGACACGCAAAACTCAAACTTTTCTGATTTGCAACTTTTACGGACACGTTCTATTTTTGTCAGGAATTCCTCTCCTTAATTTCCTTGATTTCTTTAATCTCCTTGATATAATCTGCTTTTTAAATCAGTGTCTATATAGATTCGTAATATTCGTATGCCTGTAAAACAGAAAAACAGAAAGTAAGTTACTTTTGACATTTACTTTCAGTTTCAACTCGAAACGCGGCACGTGTTTTTCGTGTGCGACGCGACGCGACAATCTTTAAACCTGGTTTTTCCTCGTGCCTATTCACGTGGATAAACGCATACGTCATTTCAAGATGGTGAATCTTTTTCTTCTCCAGGCGCGTCACTGCGCGTGGTTGCGTCGGATTAGATCAGATAAACGAAGTATAAATTCCTATCATAAATTTACCCTATAAGCGCATAATATTATTTAATATTAAATAATATTTTAGGCATATTCTCACAATATTAAATATAACATTTTAATAATATTTTACTAAAATTATATAATATTAAATAATATTCCTGAAATATTAATGGATGGTTATATGTCCACTCCTAATAATATTATATGATTATTAAAAGTAACATTT